GGAAGAGATAGCTATCTGTGGTTTAGGTGAATTAATATGATTGCATCTCAAATGTTATATGATTTAAAAAAGAATTCTCTGTTTCTTTCGGGATGTTTTTTATTTCCTGTTTAGAAATAAACCTTTTCTCCTCCACCCCCTTTTCTCTCCCAAAATCATATACAAATTGTTCCCTGGCTTCTTACAGGGAAGACCAAGGGCAAAAGTATCATGGGAGAAAAATGGTTCTCCAATAGACAAGAACGAAATCAACATCCGCAACACTGAGAATGACACCATCATCTTTATCCGAAAGGCAGAAAGGTGCCACTCTGGAGAATACGACATGAAAGTGGAAGTAGAGAACTTGGTGGACAAAGCTACGATAGATATTCAGATTGTTGGTATGTTTTGAGAAACAGATATAAGTGCATGCCAGAGAAGAGGACTCCAGCCATTCCAAGGCAATATAAAACAGAGGAATCCCAAAGAACATCTTTCTTTACAGTGATAGCTCAATTACATGGATATAGATTTGTGGTCTCTAACTAAACCTCCCTACACAATGGTTGGTGTTTGTTGGAACATGTCAGTTTCTTTTTTTTTTCACTGTTATACTTTTCATGTTCTTGTCTATTCAGGATGCAAGCTTTTTCCCATTGTGTGGTATCCATAGCAAGAAACAGTAGTAAGTTCATAGTAACTTTGTCACACATGTAATGTGGAAGAAATCCTAAGTATTGGAATTACATGGAAGTAGGAAAGACAGAGAAGATAACACATCTGCTTTCCATTTTTACCAATCTATTTCGTTACATAATAGACAAAACTGGTAGCACAGTGTTTATAATAATTGTCCAACTTTGTCTTTTAGGAACACGTCTTCCACTGGTTTTAGTTTTTCCAAAATGTCTTTACACAATTAAAGAGCATATGCATACTAGAAACTGTACTCTCAAAATGGTTATGCTAAGTTTTCCATAATCCTGACATATTTTATCTTTGAAAACGTCTTTTGCAGCCTCAGCTTTCTTTTGACATTGGTTTTGGCATGTCTGCATTTAGAGAGAGAAATCAAACTAAGTGGAAGACGTGTAGGAAAGAGACAGATAGAGAAAGCAAACCGTGGGAAATGTCAGCTGCCGTATTTTCATTACAGATCGCCCAGGCCCACCAGAGATTGTAACTATTGATGATGTCTGGGGAGAAAATGTAAATTTATCATGGAAGCCACCAAAAGATGATGGCAATGCTGCCATTACTGGCTACACTATTCAGAAAGCAGATAAGAAGAGTATGGTAAGTAACAAGGAGTTGTTTAAAGGGCTGATGCACTCATGAGTTCTCCCTTTCAAAAATAAAACCCTTACATGCCTAAAATGATGTAGGTGGACAACACATTCATTAGTCAATATCCAGAAAATCTGCAAGACATGTCTAAAATTTCTAAAAATGTCTTGTTCATTGTAGCTAAACCCTAGAAATGGGAATGCTTTCAGGTGATGCCAAAGAGGAGGACTGAAAAGGAAAGAACAGGTGGATTTGAAGGAAGTAATTCTGGAGTTTTCTTTTTCCTTTGTCTCCGTAGAGAAAATGAAACCCCAAAATGTTAATTCTGAAGTCAGTAGGTTGCTACTAGAATCAAAACGTAGTGCCACTGCTTTCAAACTTGTAATATCCCATTGTGTAACTCCTTGTCACTCCTTAATACCCATGGCAAAATGGTACATATGAAATTCATAAACTGCTTTGAAATTTACAGATGAGAAGTGCAATATAGAGGCATATTATTTTCACTAAATTAACATGAAAAGTTCCTTAAAAGACAGTAGTTAGATTCCTACATTTCATACTTAACTGCAAATTTAAGCACTGGCTATCTAGGACAATATTTTTGGAGCTGCCTTATCTAAAGGAATCTTTTTGTCATGTGCCTACCCCTTTAATATATTGATCTGCTTCATGGTCTGATCAATTCAGTCTTCCTATGTCACTATTTCCCTTCCCACCCTTTTTTTTTTTCTCTTCACACCGTAAGAAGACATGTTCTCTATACAGTGACCAGCACAATGATGTCCCTTGTCTCTGCATTACTGTGTTAAGGAGAAAGCAACAACAGTAGTGTCAAGAGTCCAGTGTGCCATGGATCATTCTGGTCATAGTTTCTCCACATTCTCTGTGGTGGTGAATTTTGAAATTCTGGCACAGTTGGTCCTCTACAGAAAACTGTTTTCCCAAAGGACACTTTGCCTCTTAAAGATGACCAAATATCAATGCAAACTGTGGCATGGGGAACTCAGCACAAGTTCATTTTTAAGAAAGCAAGAAAACTATGTCAGGCAGAGTAAAGCAAAGCAAAAACACTGCTGTGGTCATATTGCACATATTCCATTTTTAGCATTAACTTCTTACATCTCAGTTTGTTATTTAGGCATTGTGTACTAGCATAGAATTCACATGTCCTGTTTACTGCTGCAAGACTAAAGCACTAAAACCCGCCTCCCCATCTGAGCCTTTAGATATCAGAGGACCACCTATATAAAATTACATTTCTCATGAACACACAACCTGTGGAACAGGGTGGGCAGATTAATGCATTGGCCTCTTGTGAGTGCATGTTACAGCAAATGAGTACATGTTACTACTTTTCCACCCCAGCCTGCAGTTTTCTTATCTGCAGCAGTACCTTCTGCCAGCAGCATAGAGTAAGAATGAAGGAGCCTGCCTTGCTTCACATAATACAACCTTTGTAACACTGGATTTCCTGAAACAAGCCCTCCCGGTTTACAATGCATAACAGTTCAGTAGATTGTACTTTCCACTCAGCCTTCACTGCTCAGCAGTGAATGTCATATTCTCATTATCAATTGTTTCATTAATTATTGTTAGCTTCATTATTCTAGTATTCATTAACATTCCCACATTCCCAAAGGAAAATCTTACTCCCACAGGCTCAGTGATTCTACCAGACAGTAGTTAATGGCTGAGAGATGCAGGGTGCTGCGGGGAAGCTTACTCTCTGGTTTTGTATCCTTCAGGAATGGTTCACAGTAATGGAGCACTACCACCGCACCAGTGCCACCATTAATGAGCTCATCATAGGAAATGAGTACTACTTCCGTGTCTTCGCTGAGAACATGTGCGGCCTCAGTGAGAATGCAACGATGACCAAAGAGAGCGCTTTGATTGCAAAGGATGGTTAGCTAATTGTCCATTCCTTGTCAAAAGGGAAGGGGTGTGTTCAGAGGCTGGAAGGTGATTAGAGGTAAAGCCCATATACCCAAAGCATTCCGATGCATTCCTGTCCCCAAACCCAGGTACAAGTAACAGCTAGGGCATTTTGTATTAGGATTTCTTGCTTTGTCACATAGTTCATAGTTGGGGTTTCTTTTAATCATGTGTGGGACATTTTTCCCATGTTTTGACGTTTTCTACAATCTTGGATCTCAGACTTGTGTCACCTTTGGCAGATCTAAGTCAACAAGAGCTGGAAGAGGCGTAAAGCAGCTGTTCTGTTAGAACTGGTGGATCACTGCCTCCCAGTGGAGAACTGGCATCAGCTGTTGCAAGTCCATTTCAGGCAGGATCCAACAGACAAGCATAACCCCTGCTTCACACCTCTTGCAGGTGGAGCTGGACAGATTCTGAATCTGTGGTCAGAAATCCTGACTGACAGTTTGATATGGTACTGTAAACTTCAAATAAATAAAACAGAAAATAACTGCTCCTTTATGGAAGGGAAATTCTCATGTAGGTGGTTTAAAGGAAGAAAATCAACCCAGGTCACCTGAATTTGTCTGAAAGGAAAGAATACATGACTGCCATGATGCAGAAGACAGACAACCTGTACAACCCATACAGACAGGCTGAAGGACTGAAGGTCCAGGGTACTGGACCTCCCTTTCATTATTAAAAAGGAAACTACCTCTCTTTTAGAAATGGGATCATGAACAAAAGTATAGCTATCTGAATTGCTTTTCATCACTGCTTTTGTGTCCTTGTCATGAGAGTAAGTATCAGGCCTAAACTTCACTCAAGTCAGTATGAGAGCTTGGATCAGGTTTCAGTGAACAAAGATGTTTAATGATACCTATGCATAGGAATAGATCTCAGTCTGTCCAGCTGTTTTAAATACCAACTTAGTTTGTAGGTGAAAGTGATTTATTGATGATAATCTCAATTGCAGAGCAGGGATAAAATGACAGTAAGAAACTATATTTTACTACTATGTCTTCTTTACACAAAAACTACATCCATTCAGGTATCTGTATTGTTAGTGCACTGAATAAAGCAGAAAGAAAATGGATTTTCAGCTACAGTGCCAGTTTGCAATCAGAGCAAACTGTGAAAAGTAATTGGCAATAGAGTGAACAAGGCTTGACAAGACAGGCATCCTGCTGTATGTCAGTCAGCATTCATCCTGTTGGATAACGTGCAGGGCACACAGGCAAAGACACAGAATAAATGTGCATTATTTTGTATAACACCTAGTCAGGAAACAAAGATAAGATTTCAGACATCTATACTATAGTATGACCAAGGGCTATAGTCACTTCACAGGCCTACTTCCAGCCTCCCCTACAAGTGCAATTACTGGAGTGACATTGGTACCTAAGGCAGTGCAGATTAGAATTGACTCTGTAGCTACTTAAGATGGGCGGGTATTTAGCTACATGCCATCACGCTTTTTATAAATGTTTATATTTTCATTTCATAGGTAAGGTCTACAAATACCCAGTTTACGATGATTTTGACTTCACTGAACGACCGATGTTTACTCAGCCTCTAGTCAACACGTTTGCTGTAGCTGGTTACAATGCTACTTTGAACTGCAGTGTTCGGGGCAACCCCAAGGTACAACATAGCTCATAACAGTATCAGTTAAAACATGAGAGAGTTTAACCTGATAATAAAAGTTGTAATACCTTTTTTACTATTTTTTGCATTAAAAAGCCTGGCTGAAGGCAAAAAGAATGGTGTGGGCTCTAAATACAAAAGACGTCCAGCTTCCCTGTGTTATACTCATTATAATAGTTACTAAATCCACAGATAATTCGGTGAAAGTGTAGAACCTCAGGAAAAGGCTGGGCTATACTGGGACCAGCACTGACAACAGATGTACAGTTAATACATCAGTAAAGGTTGTTACTAAAATAAAGCTATAATTATTCTGTAAAAAACTAATTATACTTTAAGTAAGTACGTTACAAGAATAGTCTGGGGACTACGCTGGTTCTCAGACCTACTGTTCAATGCATCTTTCACATTCTTTTGAATTGTGTCTTTTTGTGATCTATTTAGTGTTGTGAAAAGTGACCTAGTAAAATAAGAATGTTAAGAATTACAGTTTCTTTTCTATCACTACTGTATCTATTTTTTATCTTTTCTGGATTACTCAACTTTAAATGAACTTCACAAGAAGTGGTAAAATATTTCAGTTCATAAGTTTACGCATGTGGGCTTTCTTCTGTTTTTACCACAGCCCAAAATAACCTGGCTGAAAAACAAAGTAATTATAATGAATGACCCAAGGTACCGAATGTTCAGCAACCAAGGTGTCTGTACCTTGGAGATCCGCAAACCCAGTCCCTATGACGGAGGTACTTATACCTGCCGAGCAGTCAATACACTTGGAGAAGCAGAAGTTGATTGCAAACTGGAAGTAAAAGGTAAGGGTTTTAAAACATTACAAATGCCCTCTTTGTCTGAACACCATTTACATAGGAGTGGAAGTATGCAAGACAAATGCAAAAGAGAATTCAAACAACTTTTTTAAATTTCCTGGTTGAAAATGATAACATGGTTAGGACAAAATAAACTATATTGGTTGTTCTGTTCTCTTTTGGAGGACCAACATGCTGTGCTTATACTATATGATCTTTCCCCTCCTTCCCCCCATGCTAATTCACACCTTCAGTGACCGCAAGGACTTTTTCACAAGTGACAAAAGTTAGACTGTCACTCTCAGAGCTACACCACTTCCCTGAGAACCTCTAGTAAAACTCAGCCACAGAGCTCTACAGGAAAACATTAAGAAAATCATCTTGGATAACAGACAGGTCTCTGAAGGAAATGGCAAGGGGAGAAGGAGAAAAGGAAGAAAGATTACCTCAAGGCAGACTTTCTCTACTATAAAATTATCTATTGAACAAACCAAACATTTGCTTCCAAGGAAGTTTGCTAGCAAAATCAAGTAGTAAAACCCACTATTGTTCTCAAGGACACAAGCTAGTTGGTATAATTGCTGCACTTGCTTTAAGAGCAAAATACTCAAAACTATAGATTTTGCAAAATAAGCTACCCTTGTCCAACTGAAGACACATCTTTATTTTTATTAATGGATAAATTTTATGAATTCCAGATAGTTTAGCATTGACTGGGATATCATGAATGTTAATAGGGTTTTGATTGGACTACTAATGAATAATCTCAGGACCATATGTTTCTACTTCCTAGGAAAAGATGGTGTCGTATTTAGCTGGACTAACTCTCACCAAAGTCTTTAGTTTCAACTGCAGAATAAGCTAAGTATTTCTGGAAAAAAAAATAGTAGGACGTTCTAAGTAAAGAAAGCTGCCTAAAGCCAGCTGATAGGAAGTGTCTAACTTGGGCATTTAGGCTAGCTGAATATGGCCTTAATTATGCTATTGCCGTCACGATAGTCTATAATGAAAGCCACAATAGTTAATATCCTTATGGATAGTATTGTTTATTTTGGTTTTCATTTTCCATTTTCCGTGTTTTCTGATGTATCTTGTCCCACAGCTCAAATCTGCTAGCAGGAAGCCATTGCAATATATGTTTTGTCTATGAAGTTGAACATTTAACTAATGTAAAATAAAAATATGCATAGTATGTTTCTTAACTTTCATGATTTATTTTTAAGATACTGTGTTTAAAAGGTGATATCCTCATCCTGGAAATATGATTGTTTTCCTTAATCACAAGCAAACTTTCTATTTCACAGCATAACAGAAGACCTCATCACGTGAGAAGGTTGCTTCATCTTTTTTTATACTGAAAGGCCAAGTTAGTTTGCTCTTTCACTTAACTCCCTAAGTCCCTAAGCCCTAAAATTCTTATGTGCATTTACACTCAGTTGTAACTTTTGATCTGCACCACTTTGCTTGTAGTACAACCAAATACTACATTTTCAATACAAGAAGCTGTTTATTTCTGTCCTTTGTTTTACACAGAATGTTTTTGTATATAATGTGCAGAGTAATGTGAAATATTTTTAAGATAAGAAATAACTTAACTAATATCTCTCCATTTTAGGAAATACAAACTCCAAATGTTGTCATGGATTACGTATTATTCTTCAGTAATTCCTTTTCCAGCTGTTGTGAAATATAGATGCTCTGTTGATGTTTGAACTTCTTTTCACTGAATATCAGGACTACTTTTGACGCATAATACAAACACCATGTCACGATTCAGGATCTCTTTTAATATGCAACAGTTTCCAATAAATTGTTCACCAGCAGTGAGATGCTCTATGTTAGAGATTTAAGAGAGAAGTTTGGAGAGATTTTATTGCCTTTGATCACTCCTGATGGGGAATCTTATTTCTTAAGTTATAGACATTTATAGACTGGTATCTGAAACAGGTTGGGAATGCTTAGATCCTTTTCTAGTCAATTAGAATCAATATATATAGGGAAAAAAGCTATAGTTCTGTTCATTAAAGTGTACAACTGAGATGATGCCCACGATGATTTTTGCTGACAAATGTTTATTTAACTTTCATAGGTCCAGTTTTCTGAGTAGTGTTTTTAAATAGAGGGTACATGATGCACTCTGTTCAGGCTGCCAGACTCGGTTCACAGCTGATTCTTTCCATAATGGCTGCATTAAAAATTAAATCAAAAAAATTATGTCTGGCAACGCATCAGCAAACATTCAGTGTAGACAACAGTCAGGACAGTGAAGCACTAGAGCAGATTTCCTGCAGAGGTTGCTGCAAAGCCTTTGCTACCAAAAGCCTTTAAAAGCAGATTAGAAGAATGACAGCAGTACAATTTGTTAGGGTTATGATATGCACTAAATGACATCTCCATATTGCTTCCAGCTCTGTGAGTCTGAGAGGTTGACTCAGTTCTTAATATTGTTGACTTATGCTAGCACTTTAGTGAGTTTCAAGAATCCCCCTGATCATTCAACCCACAGGAAACCTTGGATCAATGCATGGGCTTTGCATCATGTCCTGAAGGTTGTATTAATCATCCTATCAGCTGGTTGCAGCATGTCTTACAGTCTCAGTTCCTCTCGCACCTTGGGGTTGCAGTTGAGCATATCTTTCTTATAGTGAGAATGAGGTTGTAAGAATTACTTCCTTTTGACAAGATTTAGTTCATCCTTCCTCACTTTTAAGTAAAACCTCTCACACCCACTGACTGTAACATAGACATTTGTAGACTCAAAAAAGCCTCTTTCTTCTCAAGGAACATAATATTTAAGAGAACAACTAAAAAAATAAATACTATGCTATAGACATTTTGCTCAGAGTACTTTTATTTTGCATGCCACCTGAAAGAAGTCCTGAAAAATACAGACTGTTAGAATCCCACATAGACTATGTTTTAGGCTGCTTTTTTAACCTACACTCCACCTCCCCTGGTTAATGGTTGGTTTATGAACCTGATTTCCTACCTTCCATTACCTGGTGCAGTCCTACTCTATCTCACCAAGCCTGGTATTGTGGTTCCCTCTGAATGCTTTGGGCTGTGAGTGGTCACGCTTGAAGAGATTTCTCTCTCCATCCTGGCAGGTTTAGCCATTATTTTAGGCTCCTTTTTGAAGACTGCTTAGACCAGTTATTTGTAAGGCTTAGACACAGGACAGCTGTTGTAAGGGTCAGTGCTGACACTCTTAACATGACTGGCAGTTCAACTGATGAATTCAAAGGGAATAGGATTAAGTGAATACAGCAGCTGTAGGTTGGCAAACCAGAGTAGGCTCAGGGTTTGCTATATGCTACAGACAAATGCAAATGAGTATTAAACAGCCGGAGCATAAAAACATAATCACATCTTATTTCACTATTCTATTGACTTAAGTGTTGAATTATCATTCTTTTAATTTGCCAGCCTGTTTGTTCATTTAGGAGGACTCCTCAGATGACTGCTCATCACATTGACACAGAGTAAAGACTTACGGATTTCTGACTCACTGGAAACAGATTGCAGTGTGTTTGTGTGTGTTTATAGCATATATATAACTTTGACCTGGTTCAGCTTTATTCCAGCAAGTAACAATCAAGGTCTGGATTTATAAAATTATGAGATACAGTTGAATGTTGCCTGAATAAGACCAACAGGCTCAAGGCTATGCTACCTATCTCGTGAATGTATTAGCTACAGTGCTATTAATACAGATCTCTGGATATTATATCATCCTATTATTACAGATCTTTTGATAGTAAGCCATGCTAAAGAGCTCTATGTCATGCAACAGTATATATTATAGTAAGTGACTTTTCTTTATGTTGGCTAGAGTTTCTTTTACCCCTCTATTATTTCTGAGGTATTGGAGATCTGAAATTTATATATATAAATATGCTCAATCCTAGGAACGTCAGAACTACTCACAGAACAGTCTAGGATTTCTGATTTTGCATAGTATTTAAACAACTGAGTACCTATGAATACTCTGGCTACGAAGACTATCAGTATGCTACAATTTTCTACTTTTTTAGCCATTTCCTTACATTATTTTAGGTGTAAAACTAAAACCCCTAGTTGTTACTACATTTGACACTTACTTCCTGGAAAAGTTTTAGCGATAATTATGAGCACAATAGTAAAGACTATAAAACTTTATTTTTTCCTCAAAAAAGGTTTTGCATGTACTGATGTCATTTCAGACAGACAGCACTTTGTTCTTTTGTTTTAAGTTCTGCTGAGTGAACTTAAAGGTGGCAGTTCTATAAGCTGCTCCATACAATTGCATATACAATGGCTTCTATTGTAAATATAATCGTGCTGTAAGAAGTCAAGTAATAGATCATAAAAAAAAAAATAACTCTACCTCATATATCTTGGAAGATAATGCATACATAGAATTTCATTATAAATGTTTTGTATTCATCTTCCTACAGAAAATATTGTATATATCTTCTAAGTTTGTTGAGGTAGATGGTGAAATATGTAAATTTGTAAATGTAAATCTCCCATTGCAAGCAGGAAGGAACTGATTCCTTGTCAGCTTCACTGAGGTCAATGGAAAGATTCAGACAGAGCACCATACTTCTTTTATTGTGAAACAAATGGGTTTAAAGAATGTTTATCTTAAGAGCGAAATGAAGACTGGTGATCATTCTAATAGGTTGATGATAGAAAATATTCTGTATGAGAAATATGTTTTAAAGAGGTGTAAAGATCAACTGGGAAAAATTTCAAATGCGAATAAATACCACTATAAATATTCTAATTCTGCAGTGATATATCAAGGAGTAATTAACCCAGGACAACCATTCTTCTTGGCGGGGAATAATCAGGTTTATAATAAGCATACTCCTCTGGGTATTCCATTTCATTCCCTTCCTCTCTTTCCACATGCAAACGCATTTTCTGCATGCAAAGTGTGTATTTATTTGCTTTTTTAGATTAAACTAGCCAGTGTCTCATGGCATACAATGTATGTCACATGAGCAAAGAAGGCCAAATTAATCAAGAATATGGGTATTTAACATCAGAGTTACAAAGGGTTGAGACATAGTTCTGCTATGCCATTGGGCATAGAACTACCTGCTACCTATCAATTTATTTCATCAGCATGATGACCTCTGAACAAAACCTTTAGATCTTTCCAGGAGATAGAAATTTGCATTTCAAAAACCCCAGCTCTCAGTTAGTTTGTAGAATTATTGAAAGAGCAGAAGTATCATACTAATATTTTGTGCTTAAAAGGCATTCTTTATTACAGATTAGTCTTTCGTTACAAGCTAGTTCTCAGAATCACAACCCACATCTAAGCTTAACCCATACAATCTAAAGATGAAATCTTGATACAAATGAAATCAGCGAAAACTTTAGTTACAAAGATATAATTTTACTTCATTTCCTCTAGAACTTATTTTAAATTCAGGTTCCGTAGTGTTCAGAGAATGTGGCTGTTTCTATAGAAAGGTGTTTGCTTGTAACCTTGCCCAAATCTAGAATATTAAGAGTGCAATTTTAAAATTTCAGAGGTGCCCAGAAACTAGTCTGCAGTATATTATGCATCCAAATTTACTATTTCAAACCTAAAACATGTTAAGAAGTCAGATTAGATAACGTTCCTGTAGTTTTTTGAAGTATTAAGGTTTTTTTTTCCTAAAAGGCTATAATAGCTAGAAAGTTGAGTGCTTTTATATACATACACAAATATAAATGTATACATATCGGTGTTATATAGAGTCAAAATGCTTAATTAAAGATAAGGGCTCCAATAGAGTAAATAGCATGCTTTAAGTAATGTGTATGTGGATATATGACAAAGTACATACTATAGTACACAGGTACGTAATTAGTCTGTACTTGATTATTTTGCCTTATAGAGTTTCAACATATATATATATGCTTCAGTGTTACGTGTGTGCTTTTTTTTTTTTTCCCTGGTGGAAAATACTATATATATATATGTGTTGGCTTCTTTGAAGCTACGTTTGGAAACATTTATCTTAAATGTTAGTTGCATAATTTGGTTCCAATCTATACTTTAGACTAATTACAAGATTTATAGTTACTTGTAGATATTAATATAGCCTTTACATATTAATGATCATTTTGAAGTGGAACTGGTTCCCTACCTTTTACTCTTCATGTGTTTCTATTCCTACATTTTTTACATGACTAAGGATTAAAACATCATCTTCACATAATCGTAAGCATAATTTCACTCAACGTTTTCTCTCTACTTTTGTGTTTGTGATTAAATTGTTACTTCTCTTTCTTTTTCCCTTAGTTACACAGTAAGGATTTTTGAATGTATATTGTCATCTAAGGTAAGCTTTCATATGGTTCTTGCATATGAAGCTTATGAGTATGTGTCATACAATGTCTGCCTAGTATGGCATGATTTTCATTATTTCACCTAATGAAAATGGTTTTTATAATGAGTAGCATGACAGTTTTAATGCACAAATCCAGATTTTTAGGAAAATTGCTTGTTACAGTAATTCCTTATTAGTACACCTCGTTACCTTCTAATAGTGCATGTTTCAATGGAATTTAACAGTGCATGAGTTAGCACGATTAATTAGCATGAATAAAATGCAAGTAATAAAAGAGTATTTTTCATTCACAGTCATTTATTCTCATACAGGAATATACCTCTACATAACTGAAATATTTATTCCACAGTTAATTTCATTTAAAAACGAATGATTCTCATCACAGTTGCACTTCATGGATTGAAAAGAATGCCAAAAAGCATGCTTTTTTTTTTCTGTCTGTATTGTGCACCTACCTACGGTCGGGACTGAATAGTTCTGCAACAACGATGGTGTTAAATGAGATAGCACAGTCTCATAATCAATAGTAACTAATAGCACTTTAATTGGATAATCCTTGTGTTAATAAAGGTTACAAATTCCTAAAATCTGTACTCAGGATAAACACTGTACGTAAGTATCAGCTCAGTTGCATTGGGCTGAAGGATTCAGAGACAGTGATATCTTCATCTTGGCAATGTACTTTTGCTTTAAAGCTTTTGGTGTGTTCCAGAAAAGGCTCAGAAGGTAAGTGCAGTTATTAGTAGGTGGTTTTGCAATTTGCAACAGAATACTCATGCAGATTTTTAAGAGGAATAGTAATGGTACGTAGCTTTCTTAAAACAAATGCCATCCTTCACCTCGAGACAGGGTAGAATCTAATGTTTTTTAGCAAAATATTTATCATTTTCCCACTGTTCCTTCCAAAAGACATTTGATTTCAGTGAAATTAACAGAACTATCCATGTGTGACTTTTTTTTTTCTGTGACTTTTTTTTTTTCAGTAACATGAAATTTCACTCATAATTTGGACTATTTTTATTAAATTCATGCTTCTACGTCACTGAGATCTGGGGTGCCCTGGCTGGTCTGTTAGACATTACATACGTGTATTTCCTGAAAGAAATATTTTGTCCTGGATAAAATTATTAAATGCTCTTCAAAAATCTTTTGCCACGTTCTTTTTTCTAGAACACCAAAGAAAACACTGAGTACTCCAATGGCTTTCTTATAAGCCCAGTTTTCTATTATAGCAGTCATTTAAAATAGGTTTTGTTCAGTTTTTTACTCACAGTGGCTAAGCCACAGCCATGAAGTACACAGGCTTAAAAGGCTGTGAATGGTACTTTTTATACCTGTTGAGTGAATGTTGGCTCCAACCACCACTGAACTGAAAAATGGCGAAGGGAAAAAAAAGAAGTTTAGTTTCACAGAAACAGAAAAAGAAGTTTTGGCAGTGCCGGAGGAAACGCTGGGTACAAAATGTCCCTATTTGTCATCAGGGCTTGTAAGCCAGGACACTGACTGCAGCAAAGGAAGACAGTGGCCACAAGTGTGGAGTAGGTCTCACCTATGGATTGGTGCAGGTCACAGCTTTGAGATCACGCAACAATAATTTCAAGCCATAAGAAAACTCAGGCAGAAATTGCTTTCAGGGAGTAAGCACCTGGATCCAAGGTGATTACGTGTGGTCTATTTTTTATTCAAAAATGAATCCAAAATCTTTCTTCAGAATTCCGCAGCAGATGAAAGTTTCAACTTCATCACCTCTCTCTGGAATCCAAAGGCACCAATATCTAAACTCCTGGCTTTTTTTCACATGATTCTTTCACATATGTCATCCCACCTGTTATTTTCAAGCAACATGGTAAATATTTTGCTAAATACTTATAAAACATTTTAATACCCCACTAAAATAATTTGAATGTGTCCGCATGTTTTTACCAACTCACCACAGTCAGGTGTTTTCTGTACTGTTCCCCCTGGGCTGACTTTCACCTCTCACTCACTGTACTCCACCCAGCCTGATGGAAATCCAGGAGGGTTATTTGAGGTGAAGCTTATCACAGACTGTTGCATGGGGGAGAGATAAATGACTGAGTATATGACATCCTAGAAATGAAATTCATCCTGTGCAAGATGACAGGAAAGTTCTGTATAGTACAGGGATTAAATAATGGTTAAATCTTGCGCTAGACTTCTGAACAGGGATTAATTTGATCACATCACAAAATGAAGTATACAATAGGAACTGACTCAATCTTTGCTGCTTACACCAGAAAATAAAGGTACAAAGCTGTCGTTCCAGGGAGCTTCACACTGAAGAGTGTCTTATTCCTTGTTTGTAGGTGGGCTTTCGTTCTTCAGACTACTGATGGATGGCGTGCCTCCGCATATCATTGATTCATACATGCGTGAAGTACAGGCAGACAAAACTGAGGGGAAGTGAGAGTCCGTCCACAGTGTTTCCCCCCCCACTGCACTGGAAATTGGTAGCAGAATTACAGCATTTTAGTTCTTGCAATCACAGAACAAAGGTGTGGTTGGGGAATTTCTTTCTTTTTTTTTTTCCTTATCTGTTGTTTTTGTTTTCCCTACCTGCTCTTACTGAAAAGAACGAATACGCATGGATTGCTTTGGGTTGAATTGAAATGAACTGAAGACAACAAGCGTTTTGTAACGTTCAGCTTTATTTTCTGTTTGATACTGTGTTCTGTTTTTTAATGAAGAACGAGGAGAAGTTGTGTAATAAACCTGAGGAGGCAGTCAAAGTTTGTAGTTGGTGGTACAAAGCATATCTTTCTCAGACTGAAAGTACATGGATTAGCCAGTAGCTGTGCAATAAGACCCTTGGAGAACATACCTCTTTGATAATGTATCTTATTTACCTGAGAATTGTTTAACAAAATACGGTTTTACTATAACATACTTAATGCATTATGTACTTACTGATCATTTATGCTGAATATATCTTCCTTTAGAAGTTTTGGTTTCTTAAATCCAACCCATCAGTCCTCAACTGAACTGAAATTGTTTTATTTAATGTACAATAAATATGAAGTGTTTAAGATCTATCAAGTTCTCAGTAACTTTGTAGGTTTTTCTCTGGCTCATGTTACCATATTTCTTGTTTAATTTCCACATACTGTAAAGCAGGAACTTGAGCCCACCACAGTGAGTGGAAAAATATATCACCTGTCACTTGATTCAATGGGTTTACACTTTAAGATACATAATACAGAATGTGAGTAAAGATAAACACAATACATAATTTTATATCTATATATTTTCAATATTTTAAATATTATAAATGCCAAACATGACAACTTTCCATCAGTCTTGATCTGCATCTCTTCCTCAGTAATTCATGATGCTTTTGTAGGTATCGCAGCAGAAAATGGACTCAGGTCTTATCACTAACGAGTTTACCATGCGAGGCAAAAAGGTAAAATGGCTATATTACTTTTCCAACTCTAGTGTCATTAAGTATTTCAGGGGTGGGGGGTGATGATTGTAAATCTCCAACAAACTCTGAATTATGTGAGACATAAGGTCATACACAATTTGGCCAGACCGTCATTTCCCTATTGCCCTGTCATTTATTTACCAGCTCTCACTCTGGTTGTATACACAGGATAGGTTATGTGCTTACTGACTAATGATTGATCTCCAATTACGGTTTATAAAGATAAGGCTCTACTTAGACCAGCAGTACATTACAAGATGGTTACTTGATGTCAGCACATTTTCAAACATCCAACGATCAGTAATTATTCAATAAAAGAATATCTTACTACTAACTGCCACTGCTGAACTGATGTTTCCGCAGGTGAATTGCCACTTCTTTCCTTCGGGGGATCCAAATGCCTTTCCTCACTTTGTTCTGTAAATCTTACTCACTCTAAGATCCTTCTTCTTTCCCTCCTTTCTATCTTTGTGATTGTTTCTGTGTTGCCATCTGTGGGAGGAAGCAATTCTCCATTCCCAGTGATCCTGGACATGCCCCCACCTGCTTTCGCCCTACTCCTGCCAAAATCAGTTCTCTCCTACACATTCACACCTACTCATGAAAGAAGGCAACATGTCTACTATAAAGAAAATCTCATAAACGATTAATAATTTTTCTTTATTCTGTATCTCAAAAGTGAATCACAGCTCCCTTCATCTGTTTTGAAGCACAAGAGGCTGTGGGAAAGGGTCAGTTTAAATATACACAATGCAGGTTTAAACATTTAAGCACATGGCCCTTATTTAAAATAACACCAATCTGTTGAGATATGTTGTAGTCAGCACCAAAGGCTATAGTTATTGTGAGTTTGTGCTTTTCAGTGAGCCAAAAATGATGGCATATAGCCATCTGTACTTTGTATGTAATGTTTACAGTTTCAAGCTTATGTATCTATCTGCCCCCTCTGTGTTAATATACCATATCTAATAATCTGGAAACCAGCATAAATCTCAGCTTCTGCAGGCTGTCTGCTGATGGAATTAGCCATTCTAATTTCTACCAGATGCCAGCAGTGTTATAAGACAAGCTGAACTAAGCTGCTTTTCACTGTGTGGATGGTAAGCGTTATATTCAGATGCCCTTAATTCCTCCCCATTTGTATTGCTCAGCCTTTGCCACTGGCTCTAGCTCGGGTTTGAGGTGCACCATACCAATAGGAAGTACCGAGTATTGTTCTGTGGGTGGAATTGAGATCAGTGGGCACTAGTATGCTGTAAATTCATACTCTCCCTAACTATGCTTACCAGCCAAGCCTCTGGATTAAAAATTAACTGAAAATGACTTTGAGGGAATGATAGGATGCAGTGAGATATGAAGGGGATTTTTAGTAGATCCAAACCAGGCTGCAGAACCTTAAATAGGGAGTAACAAAAGATAAAGTTTTGATTCACAATGATTTGCCTATTGGTATTCTCCAGGGGTGGTGCTTGATGCATGAAGTAAAGTGACCAAAATCACAAAATTAAGAAAATTCTAATGAAACCTGCAGTTCATACCAGCTTAGAAGAATAAAGACATACCAAAGACAACAAAAACTGAAGTTAAAACACCCTAGAGAGGACAGAAGCAGCAGAATATCATGCTGTACAAGATATAGCCCAATGCTCCCAAGAAGAAATGTCTCCAAAGTCAGCTCACACTGAATTTCCAGGAAATCAGTGGACCTGAAAGTGACCTAGGAATAACAGAGAACAGCAAATGAAACCTGGTCATATGAGATAAAGCAACAGTAAACCAAAAAAGCTCCAGGGGAAATGAAACTAGCAGTGCTTTTATGGCTTATGGCTGTGTTCCCTGATGTCTTGTAATATGTGAAACCATTTTAAGTCTTCAGCCAGTTGCATTATTCATATCTTCCATTTGCTATGTACATTCTCGATCAACTAGTACGTGCTGAGGTTACAGCACTTTTAATAAGGTTTTCCTTTCCTGCACACTGTCATGCATCTGGTAGGAATTTAGTATTTTTGAAATCTCTGCCTTGGTGTTCAGTTTGACTTACACGGGTCAAGGGAAGTTATTAATTGGAATAAGAAGGGAGACCCAAACACGTACACACACAGAGAGAAGAATCAAAGCTAATTAAAAAATTATTAATTATTTCTAAGGGAGCCAGAGGAAAATATTTTGTCTTGACCATGGAAGGTAGGAATATTGGCACTTAAATATTCCTGTTGTATAAATACAGATCCATTCTCAAACTGCTGTATGTGGAGCTTGATACTGGCATTGTAGTTACTCATTTGCATTGAAAGATTATGGCAAGTTCCAGTCCGTTTTTCCTTCACTGAAAACAATCTCACAAATATAGAAAGAGGAGAAGAAAAAACACATGCAAATCTCTTAAAGAATGTTTAAATTGGGATATGCTGTTTATAAGGAGGTCTTTACTGAGAGTCAGAAATTCTAAAAAATATTCCTTTTATAAAAAAATGAGCTTCAAGCTTCCTCTACGTCCATTGGGGGAGCAGGGGAGTATAATATTGTTACCTTTTACAGAGCATTGTGAAGGGAGACTTACTTTATGAACGTCTTTTGTTGCATTTTGAGATTCTGGAGCAAAAGGCATTCTATTTTAAGCACGGTGTACTTAGTGTCACTTGATTTCCATGGCCTGCTTTCCTGACTGACAAGTAAAGCTGCTCCTTTGCTCAAGCAGAGAGAATTTGGAAGCAAAACTGTATCCTGAATACTGAGGAAGCACTGGAAGTCTAAATGCACTGGACTTGGAATTCTGTTCTTATGTTCTACGCTTTGTGGCTGAATACTTTTTAAAGTAAAACAAAACCTTCACCAAGCTCAGTGATAAGTTCATTAGGAAATCTATTTCTTCCTCTACTCATGTGGCTCTTATTTATTACACCACTTACTTTCCTCTTCACTTCTTTTCCTAGTTTGTTTTCTCTTTTTCCTCTTGCTATCACAAAAAGCTTAAGCAATCTCTCCATAAATACCAGCACCATTATGTTTATCAACCACAGCAATGCACAGGGCACTGAAAGAAACAGTGCTGGCTAAAACCCAAACCCAGTGATTCCAGAGGACTGGGGATCTGGCTGGTTGTGAACCTGTCACATTTCCCTTTGCCCTCCTCTACTTGGCTGTTACTGAATCTTTCTTTATTATGCTGTGTATTACCCCCTCCTTTGCTGGCAATTCTTCCCTTCCCTGTTTTGGCCCCTAATTCCAATTTCTATATCACACTGTACTCGGTGATCTGTAAGTTAAATAAGTGGATGAATGACATAGCACTTGGGATGCACGTACTGTTTCAAGGGATTTTGAAACTATGCTTTTGCAGATGTCAAGCATTCCTGACCCTTTGAGTAGAGAAATCTACTCAAAAACATATCAGACAAAGTGAATCGGTTCACTTTGAATAACAAGAAATGGCTCTGTCCAGGAAATTGTGTCTGGCCAGAGAGCTGCAGCCTCTGTCTGCCAATGGAATAACTTCAAAAATGATTTCTGATTCTACGAAGATGACATTTGGGTATATAATACTCATTAGAGGTTGTATATTACACTTTCTACTTCATCTTTCAACTTACACAGTGCTCACCTTTCCTTGGCCTCATTCAGAAACTATGTAACTTCCTAGAGATTCAGGGATACATCTAAAATCCTTTACATGACCAATCCAAATAATCGGATGTGCCACCATTTCTAACAAGGCATATTTATTTTGAAGTGCCTTCTCTAAGCACATCAAGGAGGTAAAGTAAGTCCTGAGTAACAGTGTCCAGTTGCCCTGTAACACGTAAGACCTCCATTCCCTGAGCAGCTGGTCTCCTCTGGTGGCAGAGGACCCCTTGCCTGACACAGTGGGGATCCTCACCTGCAGACATCACTACGGAGTCCTGCTGACAGCAGGGAGATCACCTCCTGCCCAAGCCTTGCCTTTATGCTTCACTCCAGCAAAACACCTCACCACCTGCCTGCTGCATGTACCCCTGCATTATAAGATGTGTGAAAGGAAAATCATAGAATGGTTTGGGTTGGAAGTGACCTTAAAAATCATCCAGTTCCAACCCCCTGCCATATGCAGGGACACCTTCCACTAGACCATGTTGCTCAAAGGCCCGTCCAACCTGGCCTTGAACACTGCCAGGGATGTGTCTCACCACTCTCAGAGTGAAGAACTTCTTCCTAATATCTAATCTAATTCTCCCCTGTCAGTTTAAACCCATT